CTCTCTAGATATCCGGCTAAAAAACAACAAGAAATTTCTTTTGGATGTTTGCATGAAGAAACGAAAAGTTTCCAGCCAACCCAATATTGAAGGTCCCGTATAGAATGAGCTTAACAGAGCTTACCATTATGGTCCATTTCTTGACGCTCAGTGACGCAGCATAGATGATTTTACTACGATAGTCAAGGGTTTTTCGTATGACACTTTCCATGTCACCCACCTGAAGGATGTAATTCAATTTCGAAAATTCTGAAGATCATTTCTTACCTGTGTGCTTATTTGGGACAGAAGATGGGCCCGCTCGCTTGGGCTTTCGGGACAAGTATATATAGTAGCATGAAAGCCGCTGCATATTTTAGATACTCTAGACCTTAGCTGCTCACCGGAAAAGAACAGCATAAAGACTGCTTTCGACTCTGCTGCTTTTTTCGTCTAAATCGTATCATTGTGCTTGTTTCCTTCCCCGCGAATGAATACAAGACTTACTTCGAACAGTTCTGTGCTTTCTTCTATGTCTGCCGTACGGACAAAAACTTTACCACGGCAAAAACGCCAAATAAATCGCTCAAATGCGATCACCTTGCTGCGGTTGATGACACCAGCAATGAATCTGAATGGCCCAATTAGCACGCTATGAAGTAAAAATTAATTTGTAGTGCAAGAATCCCCGCATGGTAACGCGCTGCAAATTGTCAAAAGTAGAAAACCGAATAATCTTAATTTTAACTCAAAACTGAAACTCAATAGCTGTGTAGAAATTTAGTTTTCGAAAGACTGAGGTCCTTCCAGTATTGATTTGCTAGGATTGCAAGCTTGCGAATGTTTTAAAAACCGTCAAAATGTAAGAATGAGCTATACAAGCTTTTATCAATAAAAAATTTTCTGACCATCACTAATACCGCTTTCCAAGCACCTCAACCTTTCGTTCTCTCAAAAATCTTCATTGAATGTAATTCTCTTATTTCCAAGTCACAACGAGTTAAATGACTAAATTTCAAAAATCATCGAGCACTTGAAACTCCAACTACGAATATCGGTGCTAAGTCAAAGCAAAGTGTTTTCCAAATTTTCAAATTTACTAAACAATAAATATCACACAAATATTACAACATAGCACACAACTATAGCACTCTCCCTCTTGCCACTGTACACTGAAAAAATGCTAAACTCAAAATCCAACTTCTAATTGTTGATGTCATGAGATTTCATATTCTCCATGCCATGCCTTGTTACTCTTTTTTTTGGAAGCAAAAATCATCATTTAGAGTGATAGCAAAATGCACAAAAAAAAACAATGGCGATATTGCATGCAATAAAACTTCCCGATCACAAATCATTGCATTTCAATAAGGATTAATGGAGAACTTCGTTCAGGTTAATGCAACAACCTGTGATTTCTTCAGCTCCCAAAGTGTTTAAGAAACTGATATGAGTTTCAGTGAGCTAATGGCAATTTTCCCCTATTTTGCACCATTCGTTATAAAAACCTTATTTCTATAATTTGACTTACTTCAATTCATTCTCGTCTCTCTTCTCCTTTTCTAAGTCGTTTTTCAGTCCAATGGTAAATGGGCCAGCCTCACCACGGGTTGCTTCGCTAATTGACATTGCAGCATCGCGTCTGGTACCCTAAATTTACAAAATGTCTAATAATATTTGCGAATTCCGTTTTTTTCTAACAGAAAAATTACTAGTAATAATAAGCTCTTCTGTTTATATTCGTAGTCAGAGAAGCGACTTATTCGTGAGTTCATGCTTTGTAAATACTAGCCATGCCATACTAGCCATTTATTTTTTTATTTTTTTAATATTTGCTCTAAGTGTGAGTTTTTCCTGACCGATAAGACCAGTGTATACATAAGTAAGCTTACATTTTCCCAAATTATTTTTATGCAATGCAGTAACCTGATCCTCTTACTCACTCTCCAAAAATCAAGCCTCACATCTGAAGAAAAAAAATCAATTTTTTTTCTCAAATTTCTGGAATACTTTTGAACACTGCTATGAGGAGCCATTCACTACCGCATAAATTTTTTTT